AAGTTGCAGACTACAGTAAGATCTGTCCTCAGTCTCTTCTTCTCCAGGCTGAACAGACCAAGTGACCTCAGGCATTCCTCACAGAGCTTCCCCTCAAGGCCCTTCATCATTTTTGTTGTCCTCCTTTGGACACTTTCTAATAGCTTAATTTTTTTATATTGTGGTGCTCAAAAATACACACGGGACTCAAGGCAAGGCAGAGCAGAGCATTTTCTGGGTTTTGTGAAAATATTTACTTTTATATTTTAAAAAATCTATATACTCTCTGATTCTGGTTCTTTCATTGTTGAGAAATACAATTTTTTTATTAATCTCTTAATTTTATTCATGTTTATTATATACTTCTATCATATTCTCAGTTCAACTGCATCCTTTTTAAACTAGGGACTACTTATCTATGGAAGGATTACTACTCTTCTGGTAGGATCTGCCCCCCTGATCTTCCTATCACCTCTCTGTATATGTTCTCTACTTTGTGAAAATCTTTATTTGGATAGGCATGTGTCAGAACTGCATACAGTGTTCAAAATGTGGAAACTCTGTTGATCTATACAATTATTTAATCACATTTTCCAATTTGTTCTCTATCCCTTACATAGTAATTTCTGACTTCTTTTTGCCTTTTTGACTATACATAGTGTTAAATTTCTTGTTTTCTGAGAATCAGTGACTATCAGATTTCTTTCTTCTGTGTTTTATGAAGTCATTTAGATGCAATATTGTGTGTGTATAATTAGGATTATTTTTCCCATATGCATGCATGCCTTTGTATCTTTCATGACTGAATTTCGCCTTAAGTAAAGTTCTAATCACTCTGCCTCATGAAATAATCTGGAACTTTTTATCCCTATTTCTAATTATTGCTACAATTTTAAAAATCATGTTTCGTTGAAAAATATTCTGGGCATTTTCTAGGTCAGAGTGTATATGGTAAATAGTGCACATAGCAACATGCACTTATGTAGGATAGCCACTAGTAATGTGAAAAAATGACCACTTAACCCTACCCTTGGTATCACATCTTTCTAACCAGCTGCTAAAGCATTTTACTAAAATATCGTTCTTATTGTAGTTTAGATACCTTTAGAGGTTTAGTGAGCAAACTGTTAAAAGGCTTTTGCAACTATAAGTGCACTGTACTCACTGTACTACTGGCTACATGGAAGGCCCCAGTCCTTTCTTCATCTGAACCATTTCTGTGATTTTTCTGCAAGCAGAGAAGTAAAATTTGAAACAATAAGTATGTAAGAAGCAGCTATTTTATCTTGAGTTACAGAAAGTGCAATAAATTCAGCTCAATTCCCTAAGCAGCACAATTACAAATTTCATCTCACTTCGTTTATTAATATCTTGGTGATGGTAATGTGTTGCTGGAGCTGTGGAAAGTGCAAGCATCTTGTTTCTCCTTTCTTTGCTTGGTGAGAAGGGAGGTATAATGATACAGAAAGGAGACTACCACTCGGCGTGGAATGGGGAAACAGGAAGTTTTTGTTAGATGCAAATTGACATGATTTTCTCATTGTTCCTAAGTTAAAATGGAAGGCACGTTTCTGGCAGGGCCTGAGTTCATTTCAACCCCAGTCACAATTTTTTTTTAAAAAATTATTTTTATGTTGTTACGTTCTCTAACTATGGCATTGTCCCATTGTGCCTCATTCTTTGTGCCCACTGCTTTTTAAGCAGGAAGAGAAAAGGCAAGCTAGGTCCAAATGAATTAGGTATTTAAGTCAAGACAGGACAGAGAAAAGGGATACAGGAAAAGAGATGGAAAATGAGCTAGATAGAAGCTGATAATGTAGTAGCAACTTAGCAGTTATTGGTGCTGGTTTCTTGGAGGGTTTGAGGGAGAAGTCACTGAGGAGGATTTTGAGAGAGATACCGAGCTAGGCTTGCACAGGTTTTACAGAGTGGGCCTTTCAACAAGGAGGCACTGTACAGGAGAAGATGCATCATTGGAGAGTTTCGTCATGGTAGATAAAATGGGGACAGATTGTGATGAGCTGTTTAGCTTATATACTTTCCTGGACTGTTTTTATTAATATTTGTAATGGAGCAGAGTAAATGATACAAAAAATCCCACCCAGTTTTGCAGGGGAAGTCTATATTTTGTCTAGTCTGCATTCTGCCATATTTTAATCATTGCACAGTTCACTTCTTGCTATTTCTTGTGCCTTGAAATTCCAACAATTTCTTGTGCCTTGAAGTTCCTAGCTAGTCTTGAGATCTTTCTGAATATCAGGCTCCTCTTTCCTGGGACTGAGATAGCACATTCTCTTTATCATATAGTATTGGTAACACTGTTTGTGTGATAAGCTGATCTTTTTGTTTTTTCTACAAAAAAAAAAAAAATTCATGCTAGGTAATCATCCTGGGAGCTTCCATCTGTTTTATGTTTTCCCTTTGATTGTAGATCTCTTTTCCTTTAAGAAGGATGAAATATCAGATAGTAGCTATGAAGTGTCTTTTCCATGAGTGAGGATGATCAAATATTTAAACCTTTTCTTCCCCAAAAATTTACTTCAAATATAAGAGTATGAGTGGTGGTGGAGATGTGAGGTAGCACGGTTTTATGAGTTCCTTAAATCTTGTATAGCTAGACCCTCTTGGGGATTGAGAGATCCAAGGAATGGATGAGATGCAGAGACTGCAGCACTGGCAACACTTACAGTAAAATCTAAAAACTGCAGATTCTAGAAATGTTATATTCAGCTGAAGTTAACTTAACTGAGTCCAGTGGGTGTTTTTGTTCACAGTACAGAAGTCTGGCTGGTATTGCTCTGTTGCTGTAAGTTGTTTCAGATTTGAACTTTTCCCACAAGACCTATTTCCAGAATTAGATTCAAATTGAGGAGTATTGTACAGTTGTTGCAGTCTTAAAAAATAAATCTTCTTTAGCTTGATCACAGGACCCAAGGATTGGAAGGAGAGTCATGCATGACTGCAGTCTAAATGTACTGCCATCTAAGGGTGAAAGAGGAAAAAAATACCCATTTCATGGTACCACTTTGATAAGCCTGTCCTTACAAAGGACTTCCATTAAGTTATTCATGTATTAGGTGATAAGTCTCAGATTCTACTTTGAATAATGTATTTCTTATTCATTACAATTAGATATGAAGGAGGGGGGAGATTGAAGGATGCAAAGAACTAAGCATTTTGTTTTACTTATGGTACTTTAATTAAATTTAACCGTCTGTGATATGACAGAGTTCAGACCATGCTCCCTTGTGCATTTATGCACTGTGGAGTAATAAAGAACCCATTTTGTTATCATGTCTGCAGAGCAAGCAAAGGCTCAAGCAAGTACAGGTGTCTCCTGAGCTGGGATGGGCAAAGGCATAACGCTGCTTATTGCTGCAAGTGTTGCAGCAGGTTTTTATGGCAGTGTCTTCATTCGCTTTCAGTCATGGGGACATGCCCTCGGGAATGGGGTGGCAATCTGTCAGCTTATTGAGGGCCAAATGTGATCCTTAATACTTTTCTGTCCAGTGATTCAATATCCTGCCTGTACTTACTATTCCTGCTTTTATTGTTATCAAGCCTTTAATTTCAAAGACATTTTGACCTTTATTCATGGATTAAGGTACTGCTGGGCTTGGTACTACATTGGTACAGAACACAACCACAGCTCCTGCCCAAATGGCTTCTCTTCAGTAGGGTATACCAGGTGGATAGATGAGGAGGATGAGGAGGCTGAGGCAGTAGTAATATGAAGTGGAAGAGTGAGATATCAGTTGGGAGAGTTACAGAAAGCCCCTCCTGTGTAGGGTGAGAGGAGACAAAAGTTTGAAAATCTAGGGGAGTCTGGTGTAAAATTTTGCCTGTGGCGGGAACCATCTTTTCTTACTGAATAAGGGTTAACAAACAGAAAGGCTTTGAAAGTTTACATAAGTTGGTTATGCTTGATACATTCGACCTCTAGAAGCAGAAGGAACCTAGGTGACATAATAAGCTCCTATAACTTCTAGTTGAAGATATGTAAAAGATTGTTTTGGCAGATGAATATGAGCTGTCTCATTGTGTTTTCCACAGAGGAAAAGTCATTAAATTAACAGACCGGACAGGTAAAGTCGGTGGAGCAATTGTGGTTTTTTTAAACCCATACCTTGATTATACTCTTCAGAAGGAATCTGGAAAATTTAAATTAAGGCTTAAGGCAAGAACTTGGAGAAAGGCTTGGTCTCAGACAGAGTCCTGGGCCAAGGAAACAAGCCAAATACTCATGGGATCCACTATCATCAGGATCACAGAGTTTTGTGATATAGCTAAGCATTACTCAGGGGGAGACAGTGAGACTTTAGACTGAAGCAGACAGATCTGGAAAAAAAAAAGTATATGCATCCAAGGTAATTCTATAGTTTAATGAATCACTATTGTAGTAACAGATTTAAGGTCTTGTCTCTGACAGACCAGTCCTGCTGAGAAGCAGCTAATTCGTGTGACTAATTATCCTGAAACTAGGAGTAACAGAAAATAGTCTTTAAGAATACAAGTCAATTTGAAATGTCTCTTGTGTGCAGTGTGTATTAGAGCTCCAACATAGACTATACAGTATTATTTAAAATAGATTGTTGTGTTACACAGGGTCTCAATAAAACCTCTCCAGACCCTTCTATGCATGTGAACATTGGCACTGATTTTTCAGTCCCAGTGAAATCTGTCATTTCATTTTGATTTATATATTTAATCAGATGTAGCCTCTGATACTGTAGTTCACATCACCTTCATATCCAAGTAGTGCCCTTTAATTCAGTGGTGGTCCCCCAGAATTGAGGTGCTACTGACCACGTGTCAGTGCACTGGCAACTATCCCTTGATTATCAGACTGAAAGAGATCAGAGTAAAATTAATTTAGGGTTCCAGAAATGCAGAAACAAATGTAAATGTTACTTAATAATATAGTCACAAACTACAGGACTGATGTAAACAACATGAAAACTATGTCTGCTTACTGAGAGTTGTTTTTCTCCCTTTTTTTTCCTCATCATTCATTTCTTAAGAAAATTGGCTAAAAAGAGGAAAGAGACATTGAGTAGTACTCGGCAGGAAATGACAGTGATGGTGAATTCAATGGATAAAAGCTACACTGAGCAAGGCACCAACTGTGATGAAGCTTTCTCTTTCATGGACACGCACAATCTAAATGGGAGATGTAAGTTTTTTCTTTTCTTTTCCTTCCTTTTCTTTTTCTTTTTCTTTTTTTTTTTTTTTTCCACAAAGGTGAAAGAAAGGTGCAAATGGTTTTTAAAATATTCCTCATTACTCAGTCATGGAAAATCCATGGGACTGAGAGTTTCCCACTGTGCAGCACATTACAGTGTCTATTCAAATGAGCAAGACAGTCAGACATCAAGTATAGGCTTCTTTAAAAATAATAAGGATAATTGAGCCTTTTTCTGTCCATCCTTTTCTTCTGCAGAAGAGCAGTGACATTACTGAAACAGTAGTTTTACCTTTCTCCAGTTCTCCATTATGTTGAAAATTTTGTATCTCTCATGCTGTCCCAAGTCCTTCAAATGCTTCCCTTGCTCACATTTTTTTTGACAGTACAAACTTATTTTTGAATGTAATAACTTAATAATGATAATCTGATTGTCTTATTATTTGCAATTCTAGATGATGCTATTTCTGTTGCTTGCACAAAGGAAGAATTCAGTGGACTTACCTGTTCTGCAATTTCATAAGATTCTCTAATATCCTGAGTCTTCTTGGATCTACCCTGAAAATAAATAAGATTTGGGTTATAAAATTTCCTATATTAGAATTTTAGTCAAGGTCTCACCCTGTCAGAGGATTGGCACTAAGCAGAGACCATGAAAAAACAATAGATTTTTATAATTTTTTAAAAGAATGACTGGGTTTAAAAAGTTTTTTTTTTTAATTTTTGGTTCTTAAGGAACCTCAGGGTTTTTTGTATGCCAGTGGTTTTTTAACATCTTCAGAATTTGTCAAAGATTAAATTTTTTTCAAGTACTAACAGTATGCAAGGCCCAACTCCCACACTTTAATAATATGCTTAAGAATTTATTTTTGATGAGCTCAATTGTACAAACACTCTGTGAGGTTTATACAGTGAGACTTTTCTCAGCAGCATTAGGCTCAGAATTTGCAATGTTAATTTGCATTTGAGTTACTTTTGAAATTGGTCTGAAATAGATCTTGCAAATCAGACCTGCCTTTCTGGTGAGAATATACCCTTGCAGTTAATGAGATTGCTTATTTCTGTGAAGAGATCAAGAAGTTTACTTCATCTTCTATCATCATAGTACAGTTTTCCAGTGGTGCTACTGAATGGCCATAACTACAAATGAAGCTGCATTGAGTTCCTGGTACTAAATTCTTTTTATGTAAACCACCTCAAACCTCTTTGAAATTATTGTCATAACAAGTTTTTTATGCTGCTCAAAGGCTAGAACCTCTAATTAGACTTTCCATAAGAAACATGGTCACCTGAAGGTGCACCCTGACAGTCTTCAGGCATAATCTTTGTGTAAAACCTCGTACACGAGAGATTTAGAACATTCCTACTTCCTATGAAAGTTCACTACCCTTACTGCATTTTCTACCTAGCAAGTTTTATTACCTGCAGCAGCCCTGATTTCAACTAATCTCTGTATCCATACCCAAAAGAAATATCACTCTGTTCTGAACATCAAGGAAATGTAATCTCCTCATTCTGGAGACATAATCAAAGGTCTCAGATATAGTAATTTATATGATAAAGGATAACTATCAGCATTATTTAAACCAGTTTTGAGATATCCTCATATTAACAAGGGCTAGTAACTGTTTGCCCTGAAAGATCAACTGGAAAAAAAGACGGATGAAAGCCAGCAGGAGTAATCTCACTCCTCATCCATTAAATCCTGTCTTCCTCAACTCTGCTTTGTTTCACACATTCCTGTTAGTCTGTTTACAGGTATCCAGAATATGCTTACATTCACTGGTCAGACTGAATTTGAGATGTGTAGACAAGCAACTAAGGTGGAATTTGCAAAGAGCTTTGCTTAAAAGCCTCTGATGACTCTTGGGCAGAACATCATGTAAAATGTTGTGATTAAGTCCTACCTGTTAAATGTATCTGTGTTTACAATGGCATGATATTTGTATACTAAACAGGGCAAACTGAACTTAATTTGTTCCCATTGGTTTTACAAATGCTTCAATGATTAAATACCAATGTAAGTATTGGTCCATATATCAGTCCCTGAAAACCACCTTTAAACAAAGAGTAATATTCAGAGTCTGTTAGAATCTCTATGTATACTATCCACCTGTCTAAACAAATAAAATAAAAAAAGGAGAGGAAAAAATAAACTACGGTAGAATATTTGCATAAGGCATTTACAGTGTTATAAGGAAAACTTATTAATGATCAAAGCTTCTGTCAAAAACACCTCTTGTCGCTGTGATGTGTTGTTTCAAGCATCAGTATTCATTCTAATCTAGTGATTTAAGAAGTACATTGCCCATCAGCAATCAAAATGCTTTCTCCAACAACACTTCTTTTTAGAGAATTGATCAAATTCAGTGAGCTGTTTCATTCACTAGACTTGCCTGGTTTTCCCTAGGTCCTGATTCCAGTGCAAGAAACACAGCAGGATGAACTCTTAAGTCAAGTCAATACCATCCGCTGTGTCACTCAGCTTAAGTAGCTGCTTATCATATCTCTGTCTCTAACCAGCTTTGTTTCTCTTTGCAGCTGTATCTTCACCATCTTCATTTACAATGAAAACTAACACACTGAGCACAACCGTGCCTAATTCTTATTACCCAGGTAACCAGTTTTTTTCTTGGTTTCCACCCTCTATAGACCTTTCCATAATAAAAGCATACATGTTTATGTTATTATATTTCTTGCCATCAACATTTAATGTATATATAAGAAACATACCATTTGCTAACAGCAGCTTTCTGTAAGAAAACTCGGGAACTTGTATCAATCATTTACTGTTCTCTCTCTTTTTACCTTTCCTGCATTGACCTGCTTATGATGTATGACAGATCCATTTGTGCCAACTGCAATTTTAGGTGAGAACATTTCCCTTTATCAAAGTTTATCACTGAAGTAATTTCGGAAGTTGCAGTTTTTGGGGAGCAGACAACAGTATGCAAAATGCTGGAGCTTTATGCTAAAGGGAGGGGTGGTAAACTTGGCTACACTGAGATGCTAAGGGCAGTTATCAGGTTGGATTACTACTGTCATAATGAAAGTCAGGGGAAAAAAGACAGAAATAATTTTAAAAGTGGATTTGCAAGGAAATGTTTATGCATGTATTTGGAGTGACACAAAAGAATTTGATTATCACAGCAATTAAAATAGTATTCCTCATTTTTTTTCTGTTTTATCTCAGAGCTGAAGGTGTCACTTCTTAAAAATAACTTTTTTTCCTAGTTAAACTGTTCAGGATACAGAAAATCAGACAAAATACTGTTCTGGCCATCTACCAGCTATCATGGCTTCTGACAGTTCTGCAGAGTTTCTGATGTGCTTGGTCAAAAAGTGAAGTTTCAGAGAGGAGATGGTTTTTAGAACAGCAATATCATGACATGACACTTAGAGTATATAGTTTATTATGCAAAAGGTGTCACAGGGATGAAATAAAACAGTAAAAGTTTAGGTTAAAAACATATAGTTAAAATGTAAAGCAGTTCCATTTGGAATGTAGGAAAATCATCTATTGTCCAATGTCAAAAAAAAGAGAGGTTTATGCACAGTGATAAGAAGCATGAGGCACTATTGCATTTTCAATGCTTATCTCTAACCCCTTTGTGGCTTGTATTCATTTGCACCTCCTTCCCGTGCTAACTTTAAACTAAACAGGGGCAGTTTTTTAATAGTAATTCAAAACATAACAGTGCACTGTAGCAGGAAGTCAAACTCCTTACATGTTAAGCCTATTCATTTACTTGGTTTTCAATCTGTATTTCCGCAACAAGTATTTTCTTTTCTCCTCTTTTTTCTTCCAATCACTGTAAAAATTTAAAGACCCCTTAACTGATTCCTGCCCTTGAGCTGTAAATTAAACAGGCTTACATTGACATAGAGTGAAGCATATAAGTAAAAGTTTAAGAAGCGGTCTTGAAAATTTGTTATTGTGAAAGAATATTTAGTTCAGTGCACTTCAATGTGATAACTTTGAGAAGGAACTTTTCCGGTTTTATACATTATGTAAATCTGGAAGAAGGTAATGGTAGTGACTGTAACAATGTAATAATCTGCATGCAAATGAAATTTGCAGTGCCTTTTAACTGCCTGAGATGTTAGATTTTTTTGTGTGCTTTAGCATTCATTCAGCACTTCATGCATTAGATGTTCTTTCTGACCTTGTGGGTGGGCAAGGAGAAAAGTACTATTATCAGGAGAAAAACTTTGAGATTTCCTGTCTGTATTATGTAGTTAATGCTTCCTTTAGTGATTTTTGTGATCCTTTTCTATATAATAACAATGGTAAAATTATTTTTCCCCCAAGAAATAATCTCTATGCAAGTAGTTCAGCTATCAGGCAAACACACACTGGGAAAAATAAATTCTCGGATTTTACTAAGTCTGTAAAATCTTCTAATTAGTTAGGTATGTATTTTATGGCCTAATACAGCAAACCTGTGCTTACTCATTTCAGAAAATAGTAAACATTTCAGGTTGTTTCACTGCATGAAATAAATATTTTTTTTAACTTTACATGTTAAAAATTTAGTACCATTTAATGAACAGTGTTCCATTCAGATTAGATCTCTCTCCCAATATGTGTTTATGACCCTCTGTACAGAAATAGTGTTGTATCTGAGATAAACCAAATTAACTATGCTTGAGCTGGTAGAGGAATACAGCTGTTAACAAAGTATGCAGAGTTTTAATTAGTAATACCTGCTCTTGCTGTCTTCCACTGTCCAAAGAAGTTGTGTTAAACTGCAGGATCAAGCCTGTAGTGCGAACTAAATTATCTTCTTAATGTGACCTCCTGGGAAAGGTACGGGTCTGGTTAATGGTTGAGTTCAGCTTTCAAAATCTTATAGAAAAGCCACAGCAGTCTTACTGTTACAAAATATATTATTTAATAAATGCTGTATAGCTCTACAGGAATGGGTAAGTTTACAGGAGGACAGCTGCAGCTGTAGGAAAATTCAAGCCAGGCAATCTTCCCATTGCACATGAACAGTGCATCTGGAGGAGCTCACCCTTTGAAAAACTCACAGCCTGAAAAGCTCGTGCTGCAGTGCTCAAAGACAAAATAGAAAACTGTAGTGTGTGGCTCCTAATGTACTATATAAACCAAGGATTAAAACCAGTTTATTTTGAAAAGCCTAAATGATAACTCCTTCTGTATTAAGGCCGCTATAAGAGATAAAGAAATGGAGAGAGAAAAATTAGACTAAAACTAGGGAGCTTGCAGGAAAAAGATTCATTATTATTAAACTGATACTTGCATAGTACAAGACTTTGAAAGCTTTGCCTTTATCTTAGTTACTAACAGTCTGTATTGCAAAGAATTTTGCAGTTTGCAAAAAAGAAAAAAAAAAAACCCTCATGTTTTCTAACCTGTTTCTAAAATTGAAATAAGCAACCCAAAAAATCATTATCAACTTTCTACACTTTTTTTTGTCTTTTGTGTCTTAGCCACCTTGTAGTTTTCAGGTGCCATTTCAGCAGCAACATACTGTACCTACACTTGTATACCACGCTTCATGCCATGCATCCCGAGGTGCTTTGCAGTACAATTTTATACCACATCAGACAGACATTGCAAGATTTTATTTCTAAAAGATTAATCCCTTTCCTCTGTATTAGACCACATTAGAAAACTGACAGGAAAAGGAGTAAAATGGCCATACTCATAACCATACATTTTTCTCTGCTGTTTTTGATTTAGGTGTCAATGCACAGTTCATGTTGACAGTATGCTTAGTGAGGACCAGATTTCATTTGTCTTAGTGGGAATTGAGAGGGCCTCAAAACATCTTTGAAATATTATTCATTGAGCTTTCTGGTTTTAATATCAATTTTTAGTAGTACAACTAAGACCAGAATCTCACCTTTAACAAGGTGTTTTAATATTTTTGGTGTGTACATGAGAATCTGGGACCTTTCCATACAGAGTATTTCTGGAACTTGCTGCCATAATACATTTAACTTATGAATGTGGAAATATTATTTTAATGCTTCCCTTTCATATGGCTTATTTTAAAAATTAATGTTTTTAAAATAAATGCCTTATTTTATAAATATGATACAGATTTAGTAGGGTTTTTTTCAGTGTTCACTCAGGAATAACTTGAATAAATCAAAGCACCATATTAACAATTTTGGTTAAAATTAAAAAACTTTCAGATACATAAAATTGTTATTTGAGTAAACAGATAAAATATTTGTGATGATTCTTGAACCTTAGAATTTGGGGTGGGTTTTTTCTCTTGTCAAGTCGGAATAAATTTTTAGAAATCCATCTACACAGGAAGCAAGTCATATTGCCTCCTTACGTAGAGAGTGCAGTTTCACATCTATTTACTTCTAAGTAGAGGTTTTGATCTCAGTTCCATCTGTGTGAATTGACTCACAGTATGATACCTTGGTTTTAGTAAATCTAATTTCTACTGTGAAACTGAGATCAGAATCTGACTCATTTAGGGAATCATTCTGTAAAGACTAAATTAAAATCATAAAATTACCTGTAATTATTAATGTAGTACTGTTGCTTATGCCCTGTTTCCTTTTTCTCCTCCTCTTTTTTTCTCCTGATATGTATCTTCTTAAAAGTGCCAATCAATGGTAAGTTGCCCATTTGCCCCATGGAAGAGATGTGGAGGGTTGGGAGAAGTATGTGTCTCATAAAAATTTTAACCAGCCCACGGGGGTCTCCTGTTTGTTGGCTTGCATGTCAGTTGACATATAACATTCCATGCCTAATGTGGTGGCTCATGATACACCGTGGTCCTAAAGCATGTTCAGCAGTCAGTCAAGAGCTTTCTCCCTGCCAGATGATCTTTTGCATTTGTCCTCTTGTAGTTTGTCTCCAAGTGTCGTTTTCAGATCTACATTTCCATTGCAGTCCTAGCTTGATGAAACCATAAGCCATTTTGTGCATCTTTTTATTTTGCTCACTCCAAACATTTGCTCTAAATTCGCAGTGTAAAATACAGCACTTTAGTAGTCTATGAAAAATACAAGTCCAGTTTCATTCCAATGGACTTGTTGAAGTTTCAGAATGAAACTTCTATGCAGTTTAAAACAAAATGCCTATTTTAAAATTTATTTGCAATCAGCTAGCAACATTTCAAATGATATTAGAGTTTGGACTGCTCTGCAATGCTTCCATTGTAGAACTATGGACTTTGCCTCATTCCAATCAGTCTTGCAATTTCCGTGTGTAAACTGCTCATGGATTTACTGTTCTTCTGGTGTAGCCTTCACAGACAGAACCAATGCTGATGGTGTCAGATTTCTGCCATTCCTCTAGAAGTCTTTGTAGTTTCTATTTCTTCTAATGAGCGAAAATGAGCCAGTACGTGATGAGATACTCTTTTTCTAGATGAAACCCACACGATGGTCAGTGACACAAGCAGCCTGGTCCAATCCCATACCTATAAGAAGCGAGATCCAGTGGATGTGCCCTACCAGACCGGACAGCTGCATCCAGCCATCCGTGTAGCTGACTTGCTGCAGCACATCACCCAGATGAAGTGTGCAGAAGGCTATGGATTTAAAGAGGAGTATGAAGTAAGTGTCAGGTCTAAGGATCTGATCATTATGTCTTCTGCACCGTTGGTTGTATGTGTCTGATGCTGAGATTTTACCAGTGTGCATACTGCTTGCATTTTACAAGAGCGGGTGTTTTTTGAACTTCACGCTTTGTCATGTCAACTTCACGTTAGAAAAATTGCTTAAATATATAATTGTTTAAACTATTGTTTGTAATATTAGATTTCCAAAACTCATGCTTCAGGCCACTTCCAAAGTCACAGATTACATTTTTTCCCCTGGAACGTAGAAAACAATTCATTCCCAGGAGGACCTAATCACTTGTCAACTTTCATTTGTGAGGCTGGCTTAAAGAAGTTTGTTCCTGTGAGGTTTTTTTATGCCACTGTTACTTAAAAGTGATGGAATTGAAAACTCTTGTGTTTGGAAAAGATTTGCTCATCAGCCAAAACCTTTTATACCAGCATTATGCCTAGAGGAAAACTACAATTAATTTATTAAAAAAAAATAAAATCAAGACCGTAAAATGGAATTTGTAGTGCAGCCAATGGCATGGCTTTTTAACTACAGTGTATCAAATTATTCTGCTGAGAAACAATTTCCAGGAAAATCACTTAATTTTCAGCCTACCAAGCTGATGAATGTCATCCCATTACAGACAGTAGGTGTAGTCATGACTAATGCCAGTAGATGCAATACATCAGGGTGCAGTTTGTTAATAGTGGCAGGGAAGGAGGATTTAAAATAGTAAAGCTGGAACTGAAAAACTTGTCTTTATATATGGAGATTGTTGTAATCAGAATGAACTATAACTAGCCATATAGTTGAGGTTTTTTTCCATTGAACTGCAGTAATGCTGTTTTTCTTCCATATGCAGTGAATGACTGCCCAATATATTCTAGCACTGCAAAGGTTGCAAATCTCTTTGTTTACATTTCTGTCAGACTGATACTGTCCTCTTTAAAAATTTGAACTAGGCAACAAAAGAATTTCTTCCTTATGTATTATCAGAAGGATAAACATCCAAATGAAAAGGAAGAAATAGTTTGACAGGGGATTTGTTTTGAATGAAGTGTCTCATAGATGGTTTTTGCTCTAACAAGACAGCAGGATTATATAGTCTCACCAGGGAAAGAGTTTGATTCAGGGGAAATTCACACAGGATTCACTGTGAAAATAAATCTATGGAACAGAACAGAAAGTAAAGTAGCACATTGCCCATTAGGAGCTTTTCAGAGGAGTACAAGGATGCAGAGCACTTGCTGTCATGCATAGTTTTAAGTGCTTTCAAATAAAACTTAATAATTATGGTCACTATTCTCAATAATTTGGGCTATAGTTTACCATCTAAGCACATATATGTAATTTTAAGTCCTGTTGGTGGGGTGGGTGTAGCATAACTGACACAAAGGATAAATGTTGAAGACTCATCTTTGAGCAATGGTAGGCTGGTTCTTCCTTGGTCACTGCTCAGCTCTGCAATAGGATTTACCAACTTGGAATACTGAGTGTCTGTAGCTCAGGGACTTGCAGGAACACCCTGTTTTGCAGGATTTTACCTGTTGTTCTCCTGGGAGAAGGCTCCTGTTCACACAAGCAAGATCAGACCCTTGCTCTTGGCTGGAGAGACCGATACTGTGCCTGTCTGTAGAATCAGAGAACAGGCAGACATGTCCTTAGGGCCACACCACTGGCGACTTCACTGCTGCTTTCCCATCTGCTTCTTGGGTGTGGAAAGAACATGAATGCATTTCTGTAAGCTGTGGACTTAAGTGCAGACCTTCATTTGCAGCCTAGTGGAGTGCGAACAATCGGGATTGCGCAGAAATCCTGAAACTCCGTGAAATTTCCACCTAGCTAGTCTGCAGTGGATCTTTAAAATCCTTTCTATCCCCTGCCAGACCCTTAAGAAAGGAGAAGTTTTCACTTGGTTCCAGTGGTGTTAGATGTTAGACTGACAGGATATCATTGGCCTGATTTCCCCAAGTACCCCTACACTGATTGTGGATTATTTAATCTGTTCCCGAGTACTACAACATGGGAGAGCTTTTACTGGTCATGAAGGAGCCTCCTTGCTCATCTTCTTTCTGCATTAAAGAAACAAAGTAACTATAAAAGGGAAAACTGGTTTCCTCAATTCATCATGTCTTCCTCCTTATATATGTCACCTTTTGGTTTTAGACTCAGTACTTTCACAGGGATATTCTTTCTCAAAAACATCTATCGTCAAAGGGCCATAAATCCAAGTAACGAGTTCATCTGCTTCCTGAACAGATCAATTAGGCTACTGGAGGTCAGCATGGCTAGGCATAGCTAGGGCAGAAACAGATAAATTCATTAAGGTCTTACAATTTCAGATAAGTTTTATTTTTAACCCTGTTTTTGATTAACTTAAATTGGTGACTACTCAGTGTAAAGTGGTTCTTTGCCAAATTAAGGTTAGTTGACATAAGACAGTTCCAAATCAATTTCAGAGTGTCTGCACTGGAGCTTAGACTGGTTTAACAAAATCGATTTGAAAACACACCTTTAATTAAACCAGTGCAACTTTGTGTAGATAAAGCCTTGAAAAATCAATTTCACATTATGTTCCATGACAGGGAGTTCTGAGCATCCATTATCTCAAAACCAGAGGTTCCTTTGAAAAGCCAAGATTTGCAAAAGGTGTCCTGCTCAGATCAGCCTCACTTACTGTCACTAACAGGACTGTGTCAATAACAGAATTTAAAAAAGGTTCCTACATGTAGCTTTATCTTTAAGGCTTTCCTCCCTATCATCTGTCTCATCTTCCCTCTCCCCCACTTCTGTCGAACACATCCTTTCTCAAAGCTTTCGAGCACTTAACTGTTTCAGTCTGGAAATTATTTTACATCATTAAACCAATACTATTTAAATACAATAGTATTATATACTGTCAAGATAAACTGCACTGCATATGTTTCTTCTGTGCTGCATAGCCTTCATTTTGATGTGTTGCACCAATGTAAATTTAGTAATGTCTAAATTATGATAGTTAAATAGATGAAATACAGGCGCAGGGTGCCTGTCAAGGTCAGGAACATGAAACATATTATCTAATGTGTGTTAAACAATTCATTTCAGTTTAGCACTTCTGAGTACCTGTTAGAGATTGGTAAAGGATTTAAAAATAGTATTTAAAATATCATAAAAAGATGGATAATTTAAAGAGAAGTTGGAGATGAGTGTTGAAAATAATTGGGGGTATGAAAGAAATTCTGTCTTAATAGCATGTATTCATTTAAATGGAACTTCAGAAGGTATGCTAATGTAGATATGCTAAGATAGATGTGGTAATCAGTAAAACCCAACTCACTGAAAAAAATTTATTGGTCTGTGGAATATCTGAGATAAATACAAAATTATTTTAAGAAATAAAATAGGGGGAAAACTCTCTAAAACCAGTAGAAATACAGATCCTTGTTTGGGGAGGCAGAAAATATTGCAGACAAGCAGGAAATTTTTCATGGAGGATGTTTGCCCCATAGATGCCCACTTTGACATTTTTTTTCTCCAAACCACTCTTAGAATAATGTCTGACTTTGAAAGAAGTCTGTCATAATTTCCATTTTCTGCTGTCATGCAAACCCATAACAGACTAGAATCCTGTCACTCAAATCCAGTCTCCAGTCTCATCTTTTCTTTCTCTTTGGTCCCAGCTGGAAGAAAAATTTGTTGCCATGTGACACTTTTAAGACTTGTGCTTCTGGGGCCCTGTTATGAAATCTTGAAAATAGTAGGAAAATTGAGTATCTTTTTAATGTTATGTTATTATAGCTATTGGTAGGACCCAGCTAGACCTATTTTCCCCTGCATGTTCCTTGTGACTCAAACTAATCTTTCTCACTGCCAACTTGTACATTTTTATCACATCTTTTTCTCTGATTTTATTTGATATTCTGCAACACCAGCTGACACAGTCAGTACCATAATTGGTGCAGGTTATTTTCTATCCCGCAAGACAAAATTTACACAGAAAATTGAAAGATTCTGGAACACTGGGTGAGGATGGGGGCATTAATCCACAGTGTAAATACAGGAAGGACAGCATCTGTGTCTTCAAGAACCAGGAGCAGGTAACTGTTTCTTTCTTTCTGTTTTTGTATTACAGAAGAAAACTCATTAGGGATTATAAACGAAACAGAGATAGAGATAGAAGTGAAATAGCGTGAAGTTGTCCAGTGAAAATGGCATGAAAAACTGTTGGAAATATTCATCCAAAGAGATCACAGCTATTATTTTTTTTCAAGTTTCATCTGTTCAGATGGAGCTCAGAACAATCACAGAATGCCCAGTTTAATAGTTAATCTTTAATATTGGAAAGTTTCTGTGGTATGGTTAGGCCATATATTACTATGTAACTTCTCTCATACACAACAAGGGATGACCCCAGCAAATGGGGTGCAGAGGTCCTTTACACAAGGCAGGTACTCCTCCATTATAAAAGAACTTTTTTCAGACATAACCACTTTGTTCACACTGCTGTGGGATTTCCAGAAGCCTTCCAACAATACCAGGTAATTTTTTCCTGGTTGGGATTATCCCAGACAGTTGAGTACTGGAAAAACTTGGTACTGTGGAGGTCATATGTAGGGAGGCTGAAAGAAGTAGTAAAAATGAGCAACTGCCTTATCTACAAACTATGTTTTGGTTTGTAAATTCTAAGGTACTCCAGATCAATAGCAAATTGTTGAAATAAAGTAATCCCAAACTTGGAATGACATTCATTGGTGAATAGCCTTTGTTAGTAGTGACAGCTTTCCAGTGCATGCAATATCCATTTAAGTCTTTTAGAAGAATGGGTGCCTTCCAGTTGTTGATCACCAATAATCAGTTGTCAACAATTTTAACTGTGTGGCAGTTTGGGATTTTTTTCCATTCAGAGGAAGGACATTTCGTTTGCTGAATGCCTGTTCTTGTCAGCAAGTTTTATGCAATTCTGTCTATCCTTTATTATGCAATTCATCCTATCCTTTATCACCCTAAATTTATTTTCTTAG